TTTCTTACATATAAAATCTTGGGGCAAAGAAAGAAAACCTATGTGATCATTCCCATCAATTTACATACAAGGAAACTGAGGTCCATTGAGGGCCACTCACCTGAGCCTTTGGCCATGTTGTTATTACTCACCCCCCCCAAGGTCAAGGGCTTCACAGACAAAGCAAAATGGATCTTAGAAATAACTTGCAGAAAGTGAATTGCTGAGCGGTTCATGAATACTCCAAGGCAAAGCCCCAACAACTACAAACAACCCTCCCCCCAAACCCAAAACAAAACACAGGCATGCAGTTCCATCTAAACAAGCTATCAAATGACTTTAAGTCCCATAATAGTATTTACTCAGTTTCTATGAGTATAAGCAAAGAAACAAAAACATGGTCTTTCGATTCCTTAACCATTTACTAAACACCTCGTGTGTCCAAGTGCTGGAAAGTCCAGAGGCCAGTAAAACACTGGAGGTCATTAGTGGTTGTGTTTATGATTTCATTTATATATCATGTATTTTAAATATTCATGTTTGGAGTTTTCTACAAATGAGCATTTTGCAGTAAGGTTAAATCTAGGAGAGAGAATGTCACAATGATGGCATGGGCAACACTGCCTTCAGCTTGAATTAAGCCATGAATTTTCTTACTACACTCTTGAACTTGGCTTTACACTTTAAATGTCTGAATTTATTGTGAGTGTAAAATCAGTGGATGCCTACTCAATTGAGCGAACATTTCTTGATTATTTAGGGTATACTGGGCCCTGTTTTAGGTGTGCAGGATGGAATGAAAGATCACGTTGTTCTGCCTGGATTTGCTCAAGATCTAAAAAGAGATGTAAACGCTCAGACCCCAGGACAGAGAAGCATAAAGAAAGGCCAGGCTTCAAAGAGGAGGGGACACTGGGCTGGGCCTGGGCCTTGGACGGCCAACACGAGTTTGCCAGATGAACAAGGGAGGAGGCAGGCGTTCCAGGCAAAGGAGACGCGCTCACAAGGGCAAGCACTTGGGGAATGGGGGTTTGGCTAGAGCACAGGGTTCAAGGACAGACAGGGATGACTCCACCCAGATGGGATGATTCTTCATATTGCAAATGGATCCCACGTGCAGAAAGATGGAGTCTAATTTCTCTCCCTGGTCCATGTCAGTGTGCCTGTTGGCTGTGATTGAGAAGTGGACCAGAGAGACTTATAGCCGTCAGAGACGAGGATGTGCGCAGAACAGACAAATCCACAGAAAGCAGGTTAGGAGCTGGCGGGGCTGGGGCAGGGGACAGGGGGAGTGATTGTTCTTGGGTACAGGGTTTCTTTATGGGGTGATGAAAAGTTCTGGAATTAGTGGTCATGATTGCACAACTTTGTGAGTATACTAAAAACTGTGAAGTGTACACTAAAATGGTGATATTTGTGGCATGTGAATTATATCTCAGTTTTTAAAAAAGGCGTTTGGATGAAGCATGTCTGGATCAAGATGGCCAGCTACAGACACACAGGGCTGAACCGCAGCTGATTCCTACAGCTACCACTGACTCTCCCTGTGCAGATGGCCCTGGGTGGCTAGCCACCCTGTTACAGCAAGTTACAGCTCTTGGCCAGGGAAAGAACTGAGCAGCATACAAACAGTCGGAGAACAGCCTTTATTTTTCCAGCAGGCTCAGCCAACTTCTAACTCCCCTTCCTTGTTCTCCTCCTGTTTTTATATCCTTGGTAGGACTCAAAAAGCGTCCAATCAGCAACAAGCTTTAACATCCAATCAGCAACAGAGGGACTCAAAAAGTATCCAATCAAGATCACGCAGCCAGCCCAGCCGGAGGACAGGAGCAGGCTGCGAGCACCCAGGGGCAGGACAGCGGGCGTCCCACGTGAGCCGGCCCAGCAGCACGCACCCCCGCATCCTCCAAGCGCCACCCCACGAGATGCGGGCGGAGGGAGGCGGCCAGCGGCTGCGTCCTGGCCCCCGAAGGTTTTCCCTCTCTACCCCACGTGGTACTCACCTGTGCCAGGTGTCGAGCTGCTCGTGGGGAAGCCTGACTAGAGCCTGCCTCTGCGGGGAACTTTGGGACCTGCAACTAGTCACTGGCCTTCTCTGAGCTACAAAGAGGCTCACTGGACTCTGGGGAATAGAGTCGCCTTTGTCACTCTGAGCACTAACCATATAACCATGAAATGCGTTGATCACCTTGTCCTGGCTCCAGTATAGGCTCCTAAGAATAGAGACCTTAGAGGTACAGAATTAGAGGTCAAAGTAATAGTAATAGCCAAAACAGGCACTGTTTTTGAAAAAAATATAACTCATTTGAGTCTTACACCACCACTATGATGAAGGTATTATTATCTCCATTTCATACATGTGAAAACTGAGGCACAGAAAGGTTAAGCAATTTGCCCAAAGTCACACAGCCAAGAAGAGGGAGAGAGGATTCAAAATCAGGCCATGGACCAAGCATGATAGCTCTCTGGGAAGCCAAGGTAGGAGGATCACTTGAGGCCAGGAGATCGAGACCAGCCTGAGCAAGAGTGAGACCCCATCTCTACAAAAAGTAGAAAAATTGGCCAGGCATGGGTGTGTGTGCTTATAGTCCCAGCTACTGGGGAGGCTGGGGCAGGAGGATCTATTGAGCCCAGGAGTTTGAGGCTACAGCGAGCTATGATGATACCACTATACTCTAGCCTGGGTGACACAGCAAGACTCTGTCTCAAAACAAAACACAACAAAAAACCAAAGAAATAAAACCAAAATCAGGCCATGGCTTAGCCACTGTGTCACATTGCCTCTTGATGCACCAGTCTAGAATTCAACTAGTGGGACAAAAGAAGTTGCTAAAAGGCTTGGACTTCGAAATGACAGGGTTGGCCTTGAGGGTCACCGTGCAGCATCTGCCTGCCCTGTGGAGGGGAGTAGGGGGCAGGAGTTACTTCAATTGTCCAAGCAGTGATGGATTTGTCCCTGCGATCCCTTACCCTGGAATTATCCCTAAAAGAGTCATCTAGAAAAATGAATATGTGCCCAAAATCCTTTGTGACACTTGGAATCAAACTGTTGGTGTTAGGATGAAACTCGGGTCCAGTGGGGAGACCAAGTCCTGATGGTTTCACTTTGTGTACACATTTGTATTTGTACAAATACCTGACACCTTTGTGTCCACAACCACTGTCACAGCTTCAGCCTTCCCATTTATGTGGCTGTTGCCTCTTCAACCTCATCTCTGCAGCCCCCTGTCAATTACTTGGGTTCCCTGAATCAATGCACCATGCCAGGCTTAATGCCTGTAGGGGCTGAATGGTGGCCCCCAAAAGACATGGCCATGTCCTAATCCCGGGACCCTGTTACCTTACATGGTGAAAGAGTGGATGTTATCTTATACGGCGAAGTGTGATTAAGTTAAATATTTTGAGAAAGGGAACTTGTCATGGATTATCCAAGCAGGCTCTAAATCCGGTGATGAGAGTCCTTGTAAGACACACAGAGGGAGAGAGACACACAGAGAAGAGGAGGACGCGATGTGACTGCAGTGGCGTGAAGGCAAAGATCAGAGTGACACAGCCACCAGCCAAGGAGTGCCTGGGGCCACCAGGAGCGGAAGGGGAAGGAACAGGCTCTTTCCTATCGCCTCTAGAGGGAGAGAGGCCCTGCTGACACCTGATTTTGGACTTCTGGCCCCCAGAACTGTGAGAGTACACATTTCTTTTGTTTTAAGCCACCTAGTTTGTGGTTACTTGTTAGAGCAGTGACAGGAAGTGACTTTGCATGCTCTGTTCCCCCACCTGGCATGCCTTCCCTGCACACGCCTTTCTCAGGCCTCCCTGTGGGAGGTGCACACTCCATCCACAGCCTTCTGGTGCTCTCTCCACTAGCAGTGGAGGTGGCCTTTCCCTCCCAGGCCCACTGCTCGGCCCAGAGACTTGCCATTTTATTTCCCTTGGCCCTAAGCTCCTTGCAGGCAGGTAGTGTGTCTGGTGCACTCTGCATTGCCCAGGCCCGTCCCAGGGCCCAGACATAATCAGCAGAGGAAGAAAACCACACAGAACAGAACAGCAGAGTCCCAGCTGTAAGGCTGGTGGCTGGGCCCCTCCTCTCCTCCCCATCCTCACAGCATTGCAAAGCTGAGACCTTGCACAGCAGCTGCCCTAACTGCATCCTGCTACCAAGAGAACATCTCGGCTGCCCAGACCCCGCCAAGGCAGAGCAGGAAGATGCCCTGAGTGCAAAACATCCTGCCTTGACCCCCGGAGACAGACGACAACAACAGCTAGCCCCTTTTAAAAGCTAACCTGCAGTCCTGGGCCGTGCAACTTCTGTCCCACCCCCAGTTCTGGGACTCTTGAACCTTGCCCAGGAGTGCTTTCAAAAAACGCTACATTTGCTAGCATCCATTTGGCCTCATTACTTCTTCTGCCACCACACAACTTGCATCAGTGACCAGCACCAGTCAGAACCCAAGAGAGCACAAAACAGTGAGTGGGCAGAAGCTGGACCGCCCACTGTCTGCCTTGGCACAGCCCGGGCCCTCCTGCCTTCATCCTCCCCAGTTGGCGAGTCTTCCAGGGAGAAGGAGAGGCCGAAGACCGCTCCTCCCTGTGTGGGACTGTGTGTGTGCCGGGCTCCGGGAAATGCTGGGCCTGAGGTGGGAAAGAGCCATTCCCTTGCCTAAGCCTACAGCGTCTCTGTCTCCTGACTCTTGTGCAGCTGCACACTGGTGCCTGGGCAGATTGCTAACTACTCTTCTCTGCTGCAGGAAGGTATCAAAGCGCCAGAGAGGTGGCTTTGGTGGCTCCCCAAGGCCTGTGGCAGGGGCCAGAGCCTGAGACAACTGCCCTCCTGGTCTTACCCAGAGCGGCCACACCTGGGCCCCCAGCGGGCTGACCTGCTGTCAAAGGCAGCTTAGACCTGCTGGGCGAGTTAAGAGGAGCTCTTCAGTCTCTTGTAAAAAGGAGCTGGCCCTCCTGAGGATTTTGAAATCAGGTCACTCATGGCAGATTCCTAGAGTGGGCCTGGGCTGGCTCAGGCACTGCAGCGGCTTTCTCGGTTCACTGCCCGGGATTCTCCTGACTCTCAGTTGGCTGATGGAAATCGCCTGGCCTCAGACGCTCGCCAGTGCAAACGGGGACCCTGAGCAAAGGGTGCGACAATAACGACTTCGGAGGACGCCTCCTCTGCCCTGGCGGTGCCCAGCGCGTGGCCCAGGTGCCCGGGCAGCAGCGCCATCCTCTGGGCGCAGGCCCACGCCCAGCTCGCCTCCCTCCACAGCCCTTTCACCGGTGAGTCCGGCAGGCAGGGCGGCTTGGAGGGCCGCGCACGGGCCCTCACCTGGGCGGCTGCGAGAGCGCCGCACTCGGGGTGGGTGAGGGGCGCGACTCAGGCTAGAACGACCCGGCCGCCTTTCCGGGTCCCGGTGTCGCCCAAGCGGTCCCCTCTGTGCTTGGTGGCGGCCGCAGTGGGGGGACTCCCGGCTCCTCTTCCGACCAGACCCCGGGACCTCCCCGCGCTCCAGCGCGGCGCGCCGCGTGCCCTGACTACGCCCCGCTCCGCGGAGCAGCCGGCGCGCTCTCGGAGAGCGCTGCTCCCGCACCCGCGGAGCTCCGTCCTCCCTGTCCACGCGGGCCCTACCGGGGACGCGCCCTCCCGGCCGCGCGCCGAGGCACGCTCGGGCCCCCGCCGCCTCCAGGCCGCCTCGAGGAGCCCCGGGTGGGCGCGGCGGGCTGCGGGCCCGCACCTCTCCACCCCGCCTCGGGGGGCGCTCGGGCCCCAGGGCCTCCTTCCCGTCCCCTGCGCCCTTGGGCGGCCGCTGCGGCAGGGCGGAGGCGCCCCCGCTCCTCCCCGCGCGCGGAGCCCCGGGGCGGCGGGAGGGAGGCGGCCGCGCGGGAGGAGGGGCGCCGCCCAGCCGCGCCTGCCCGCCCGCGCCGCCTCCGCCATTGCTGCGAGCCGAGCGGGCGCGGAGGCTCGGAGCGCGCAGCCAGACCTGCCGGCGCCGTGCGGTGAGTGCGGCCGGCCGGGCCGCGTGGGGCCGGGGCCTCCCCTCCGGGGAGCGGGCCTGGGGAGGTGCATCTCCGGAGCGGGGCGCGGGGTGGACGGGCGGGTCACTCGGGCGCAACGGCCCCGCGACGACGGACGCGTCTAGTCGGGCTGTGCAGGGGCGGTGCCCCTTCCCTAGCCGCGGAGCGCCCCCGCGCCCGGGCGACTGGAGTCTGGCCCGTGGGCCCTCAGCACCCCCATATGGCCGTGACCGGCACGTCCTCACGACCCCTCCGCGGAGACTAGCCCGGGACCGCGAGGGTGTGGGGAGCCCGCCTGCGCCCGCGCCGCCCGCGCCCTGCTCCCGGTGACTCCCGCCGGCCCTCCGTCCGCAGGCTGCAGCCTCGGGTCCCCGCAACCATGGTGAAGTTGGGGAACAATTTCGCGGAGAAGGGCGCCAAGCAGCCGCTGCTGGAGGATGGCTTCGACACCATTCCTCTGATGACGCCCCTCGATGTCAATCAACTGCAGTTCCCGCCCCCGGATAAGGTAAGGGCCCCCAGTGCCCCAATCCCGCCGAATGCGCACCCCGAAATCTTGGACCGAAACCGCAACAAAAGAAACGCGCGGCGTGCGCTGGGGACGTGAAGTGGGGGCGCGCTCGGGCAGCAGGAGGAAGCCGGGCGAGGACAATGTGCCCGCGCGGGATTCTGGATCGGGTGACGTTGGGGCCCCCGCCCTAGATGACGGCCTCGCCCTGACAGTGGAACGCGGCGGGGAAAGGTCCCTTCTGGATTTTTGTGGGAATCCTGTCTGCCAGCGGCCGCGCCCCCAGCGGCCCTCTGCTCCCTTGCTCCGCGGCACCAGGGCTCTGCGTCGCGGTGAGCCCAGCGGTCGTAGCTGTCCCTTGGGTCTCCCTGGGGGATGCAGTTTCCACCCAGTTTGCCCCACGGCGGCGGGAAGCCCCTCCTTGGCCAGACGGGCCCTTCTTCCAGGCTCAGTTGTCCTCCCAGCCCTTTCTGCCCACTGCTGCCCGCGCGCCCGCTGCAGGAGGGTGTGGGCTCTTCCAGCCTCCTTCTCTTTGTTCCTTCTGCGAAGTCTCCAAATCACAGCGCCTGGGCTCGCGCAGTTCTAGTGTGACTGGGAACAGCCATTCATCAGCTGTCCCCAAAGTGTTTTTTGCTGAATTTAAAGAATCCCGTCTTTTCTTGACTGCAGCTTCCAATCAAGTAGTTTCTATCCATTAAGGATAATATTTTCAAGAGTTAACATTTAAAAAGGCAGATACATCTTTGGACATCTGGACAATTGTATTGTAAAACTCAGATCTCAAACTATAAACACAGCATCCATTCTGACCCTCTCTCTGCTTAAAAACCTTAAAAACCACCTGGGCCACAAACAAGCTCGCTTTGTTGCATGGCGCTTGTGTTACGTCTATTGTCCCATTGATCCCTGATCAAGAGGTCTGAGTCGGGCTCTGTGTTCATTCTGGCAAGTTGGTGGTTGCTGGCTGGGGCAGACCCTGCGTGGGTCCTGGATTCCTGGTGGCCCCTTGAGAGGCTGGCCCAGCTCCCAACCCTATTGTCTGTGTTTTGGGTGGGGGGAGGCAGGGGAGGGACAAGGCTGACAGCAGTTAGAGAAAGGGGGTTCAGCTGGTCACACCCATGCCCCTCAGGCCTCGATGGGGTCCCTCTGGGGCACTGTGGCCCAGGCTGGGCTTTGCAGAAGGGGCAGGGCTGCCCAAGGCCTCCCTGCTCCTTGTCTAGGCATCAGACCTGTCCTGTTGGCGAGCCTGGCCCCGTGGCCCCCTCCTGCCTTGGCCCCTCAGCTGCTCAGCTGCGGGATTCGGTGCCTGTGCCAGGAATTCTGCGTCCTGAGGCAGCACCTCTGTCAGGTGATTCCCTCTGCCTGGCCTGAGTCTCCTCTTTCGCCCTTGGTCTGTTCCCTTCCAGAGTGCTTGCACTGTGGGCTTATGCAGGGTGGGAGGATTGGGGCAGGTATGAAACCCTGCCAAGCAGGGCTAGTCTAGGCAGCTCCAAAAGGTAACAAGTGTCCTGTCCCTGGAACTACTCGAACAAAGGGGCCATCTGACAGGGTGCTCCAGAGAAGGGAATTCCAGCAGGGACGGATGGTTTGGCTAGAAAGTTTCTGAGATCACAGATAAGGAAACTGAGTCTCAGCGAGTTTACGGGCCATTCCCAAGGTCACTCGGCTGAAGGTCACAGTCCTCCAGGATGCAGAAGTTTCTGGCAGTGCCTCACTCCGCCCTGCTTGGAACCGGATGTCGCTCACACAAGACGCCTCTTAGCAACAGCAGTGTGCTGCTAACAGCCAGGGTTCAGGGAGGCGAAGTCGCCTGTCCCAGGTGGCATGGCTTCTGAGGGGCTGCAAACAGGATCCATTCTCAGAACGTGTTCCGAGTGCTGCAGTGCTAGAGGCAAGGCGGCAGCGGTGGCCACAGCCGGCAGCAGCACCAGGATCTCTCCTGGTGTTTGGTGGGTGCATGTTTATTCCGAACCAGGAACTGTTCTATGAGCTTTCCAGGTTTAAATTCCTTTAATGTGCTGACAACACTGAGGTAACTACCAGCATGATCCCCAGTGTACGGATGGTGGACATGGAGGCACAGAGAGTTGAAGGGACCTGTCCAAGGCCACCTAGTCAGTTAGTGACAGATGCAGATAGAATCCAGATCAACAGAATATTGACCAAGTCCTGACATGGGGCTGAGGGTTCCAAGGCTTCCTTATCTTCACATTTCCTCACGGCTATCCCCGTAGCCGGAGGAAATAACCTTGTTCCCGTTTCATAGGCACGTGAAGTGGCTCCAGGTGGCCAGCGTGTGCTCGTGCAGCTAGTTGGGTACAACTGGGATCTGAGGATGGCCAAGTGCCACTCGAGTACCGCCTGGAGACACGGGTGCTGGACGGGGTGAGCACCGTCCTCCAGCGTGGCGAGCACGTGGCCAGGAACGAGGCCAGGAGTGCAGTTACAAGGGTCTGGCTCTTGGGGTCACTTTTCAGTGACACCTGGCATGGGCCACTTCCCCCATTCCTGCTCCCCGAAGCTGGCTTCAGGGGTTGCAGCTTGACCTAAGAGTCCCTCCAGCTGCCTGCCCGAGACTGACCATCCTGAATTGCTGGATTCCCTTTGCCTTAGAGAGCAGGTGTCTCCTCCAAACTGCACCACTGAGGGCATCTTCACTTGGCGATGAAGAAAGTGGGGGTGGCTGGCTCTCCCCAGTCCAGCAGCCCCTCCTAGCACTTCTCTGGGGAGTGGGGTTTGGGGATTAGAGCTGTGTCATCCCTTGACACTGCCCTGAACACCTCCCTCTCCAGTGGGGACAGAGAAGTAATAGTCCCTGTCAACAGGGTGTGACAGGGCAGTGCTGGTGAGACCAGGGCCAGGAGTGTCCCAGGGAGGAGGCCACGCAGGGCGCCGTGGTCCATCTGGAGCTGGTGGGGACACAGGGCAGAGGCGAGAGTCAGATTCCATATTGGAAAACGGCGCCCACCTTGCAATGGGGGTGGGGAGTGAGGGCAGGGAGACCCTTGGCGGCAGCTGCTGGGGCAGAGGAGGGAGGATGGGGCGCTAGACGAGGAGCCTGACCCAGATCTCTTTCCTGACAGACTGGCGGCCTGCTCCTTAGCCAAGTCCTGCAGGGTGTGGAGGTGCGCTCGGAGCTGCTCCCCCCCAGCAGCGCGGAAAGACCAAAGAGGAGATGCGCCTCCCCACCCCCGCCCCGCTCTGCTGGGTGGAGGGGCTCTGCCCGGTCAGGAGCCAGACGCCACATTGCATCCCTGCCCTGCCACCTATTAGCTGTGTGGCCTTGGCCAGTGAGCTTAGCTTCTCTGCCCCCCACCCCTGTCACGTTTCCCTCCTGGGGCTGCCATCCGGATTATTAATGTGTAGTTTCTCTGAAAAGCCCTAACACAGGAAGAGGAGAGTTCTAATAAGTAGGGCCTGTTCTCATTCCTTTTGTGAATTACTTCGTGGCGAAATGGTGACTGTGAACATAAGAGTTCCTGGACCCCCTCTTGGGCAGATGTCCTACTGCGTCTGGCTGTGCCAGTGACCTTTTGCTTCTCTGTTTCCTGGGAAAGGTGGTCGTGAAAACCAAGACTGAATATGAACCTGACCGCAAGAAAGGGAAAGCACGTCCTCCCAAAATAGCTGAGTTCACGGTCAGCATCACTGAGGGTGTCACGGAGAGGTTCAAGGTAAGTGGCTGAGGCGGGGGGTGAGATGCTGTTTTTGCCCCCAGGAGGCGTCTGCTGAGCTGCAGAGATGACCTACAGAACACGGGTGTGACGGCATTCGCCTGGGCTATCCCAGCTGCACAAACCAGGCAGCTTCCGGCTACTCACCAAGATGTTAGCCATGTGGCTTTTTTAAATTTCTTTTTTTTTTCATCTTCCAAAATGATCATGTATTACTTATTTTTATAACAGGGAAAACTTTCTTTTAGATAACGGTTATAAACACTTACCAAACATTAAGATATTTACCTAGCAGTTCTAGAAAGGAAGCAGACAATGACAAGATGCTGGTGCCCCGCACTTGCTACTCGCTAGACAGGCTTCTGGGCCCTTTACCTATGCGAGCTCATCCAAACAGTGCTCCCTGGGGATCCGTGTGATTCATGTAACCCATTTTACAGAGGGGGAGGTTGAGGCAGAGTGGTCACAGCTCTCATGCAGAGCCAGGACCCAGAGGCGGTCTGGCTCAGGGCCCCGTGTGCACCCTCCTTCTGCCCCTGCTGGCGGGAAGGCCTGGGGGTGCAGCCTCCCCACAGCCCGGCGGCCTCTGAGGCGGCTCACGTGAGGCACAGCTGGATACCCATCTTCTGGAAACTCTTTCCTTCGGAAGCACTAGAAAGAAGGTGAAATGGTGGCCCTGGCCCAGGTTTAGAGGGGTGAGTTGAGAGACGTGGAGGGTCTCCAGACCTTGCGGTGTGGCCCTGGCTGGCTGTCTGGTCACACCCCACTTGGCTGTGTGAGCAGTTGGCTCATCCACGCCCCGCACCCTGCGGTCTGCAAAGCGCCTTGGCACTGCGGGTCCTGTTGGCCTTTGTGCCAGCCTTGCCGGTCACAGGAGGCAGGCCTGGGCCATCCTCGTAAGAGTAGAAAGTGAAGCGGGTACAATGCGTGGGATAGCCCAATAAAAAAAAAAAAAAAAAAAAAAAAAAGAAAGTGAAGCGGGGGATGAGGGGCTCCGTGGAGAGACAGGGAGACAGGTGTGATCCGGCCTGTGGTCCCTGTGCCCACTGCTCCACACCGCCCCTCTGGGCCTGCCTGGCGCGGTGGCCGGCGAGCGCAGCCTGCTGTCTGTGGGGTGGCTTGTGTCAGCTCGTGCTCCTCTTGGCAGCCCTCCACCTCCGCCTATGGCAGTAGCAGCATCCGCAGCACCCGTCTTGCGGGGGAGGTGGCGGCGCAGGCAGTCCCCGCCTGTGTCCTGCGGGTGTGCCGAGGCGCTCCTGGGCGGCCCCCGGCTCAGCAGTTCGCAGGTGTCCGGGCTCACGGCCTGGCGCCGGGCAGACCCGAGTCAGCACCTCTCTCCCGCCCTGCCAGTGGGGTCAGTGCGCGCCTGGCCTGCCACAGCCCCGCCCTGCCCCGCCGCGCCCTGAGATCGGCTGCTGCCCCTGCTGAGGCAGGGGTGATCCGACTTCAAGGGCCTGGCCTCCATTCTGACGCCGGACACCATCTGGATGTCTGTGCGTGTCGGGCTCTCGCGCCCGCTCTGGCCTTTGCTTCCCCAGCCTGACGTCGCAGGTCCCCGCAGGGCAGGGAGCCGTGTGGCGCTGGAATGGCTGTTCCTTATCTGTTGAGTGTGTGTCATGTGCCAGGCTCTGTCCCCCGCCTCTGGGAGTTTCCAAAGCCCTGTGGCATCCTTCATTTGTGCTTTTCCTGCACGATCACCTGAAGTAGTCCCAGGTCTCTCACCTCAGGCATGGATGACGCATATTTGTCACCAGGGCTCTCGGCAGCTGCAGCTGGGACCCAGACCCCAGGGGCCCAGAAGACTTCAGACACCTGTGCTTGTCCCTGTAGACTGGCTGCTGGTGGCAGTCCTGCCTTGCCTCTCCTCTGGCTGTCTGAGAGGGTGATGTATGCAGTAGGTGCTCAGCAGATGGTGGCACTGATGCACTGTTTCCCTCATCTTACACACAGACCTGCAGGCTGTGTGCCTGTGCTTGGTTTTCGTGGCCTCCTCTGTGACTCACGACACCCTCACCACCGTCACTGGCCCCTTTCGCAGCTGAGGCTGTTGAGCCCAAGTGGTCCCGGGAGGCTGGTTGCGAAGCCAGCGCCTTTCGCCACGCCTCGCACCGTGCACACCTGCCCATGCCCATCTTCCTCACAGGGCTGGCCCAGCAGCACCTCCCCGGGAAGCCTCCCGGACCCCCCAGTTGTGGCCAGCCTCACCCTGGCTGTGCCTCCACTGCCCTTTGTCTCGAGGCTGTCACGGCCTCTGAGAGTCAGGGAGTGCGCCAGCCCATCATTATCTCATCAAATCTTTGTAAACACCGCACGAAACAGGCACTGCTATTATCTATTTCCGTTTATAATCGAGGGGAAACTGAGGCAGGGAGCTTGAGCCAGGTAGCCTGCTCTTGGCTGTGGCACCAGAGGTCCTTTGCCTCTCCTGGAGAGCAGGTCTGCACAAGGAGTCTCAGCCACGGGTGACCCTCCTGCTGTTGGATTGTTCTGCTCCTACAGTCCTTTCCCTGTGCTAGTTCAAAACCCTTCCCAGGAACTGCCGCCCTGTGGCCCTCGATCTGCTGCCTTGAGTCACTCAGAGCACGTGACACCCTCCTTCCCCATCCCATAGCCTTTGGGTACCCCAGAGCCCTGCCCCGTGTAAGCACTCTTTTTCTTGTTTCTTCCATACAAGTCCCAGTCTCCAGCGCCCTGACCTCACAGGTCCCTCTTCTGAGGGTCCAGGATGGCCCATGCTTCCCTCTGGGCATAAAGCCGTGGCAGGTGTCTTGGTGAGGTCCAGTGGGGTGGCCTTTTGAAGCAAAGGCCCCTCACCCTGAGTTGGTGACCTAGGGAGGGGAACCAGGCCATGGCGACCCTCTGAGCCAAGAATGTCAGCCAGATATGAAGGTGAGGGAGTCTTTGTGCAGACGGAGCTTACTCATGGCTGCTCTGCCAGCCACGATAAGAGCTCCTTGGTGGCTTTTCCTGTCTGGCGCTCAGTGCACGCTCCGTAACAGCGTGATAAGAAAATGCATGACTAAACGTGCCGCTGGGCTCCCGTGCATGGGGCCTTGGCCAGCTTTCCTGGGTCTGCGTGTGGGACCTTTGCTTGCTGAGTATGGTCACTGGAGTAAGCTGTCTCCCTGGGCCGCTCGTGGGTGTGAGTCCTGGACAGGCGACATTTGTCGATTCTGACCAAGTCAGGCAGGAGCCCTGCCCAAGGCCACGCGATCTGTGAGTGGCAGAGGCGGGCTGGGAGCCAGCGCGGCCGGGCGGCGGGAGCCCGGGGCTGCAGGCCGTGGCACCCGGTTCAGCTGCGGGCTTGGCCGGGACACTGCAGGCTGCACCCTCGCCGCTGACGGCCGCACTCTGAGGGCGCCTCTTGCCTTCGCCTGCTCCAAGGCCCTTTGGGAAAGAGAGTGACCGGCTCCCCGGCCCTGCTGTGAAGTGTGTGTGTGACGGCAGTCTCCACAGTGGTGTCCCCAAGTGCCTGGGGCCACCTGAGTGGGAGCCACCAAGCTCAATCCTGACGCAGGGAGCCTGGACCCTGGGAACACTCGTTTTAACAGGCTCTCCAGGGGATTCTGATGTGCTCCGAGTTTCCACCTTTCTGGGTGGAGGTGCATTCTCGCACAATGCAGGAAGGATCAGAAGGGCTGGTGCCTTTTGGGAATGCAGACAGTGCTTGCTCTTCTGCAATGTTCTCCCAGCCTTGTATTGCCCAGTTATGTCTGGCCCTGCGTGCGTGCACTGTGAGGCGTGCCGCTGCCCCGTGCCCGCCCGCTGGTCGAGGGGCGTGTGGGGAACAGGCGTGCGGAGGAAGGTCAGGATGGAGGATGCGCCTGCCTGGCCCTGTGCCCCTCCTGCCAGGGCTCAGGCTCTGCCGGGGCTGGGACAGGTCTTCCTCGTCCTGCTGTGACTGGGCAGCTTCTGAGAGGTGCCTAGCCAGCCGCCATCCGAGCCCTCTCCATCTGTGTGTGGCTCTCAGGAGTGAAGTCTCACCTGTCAGGAGTCGAAGCAGCACGTAAACCGTAAACCCGGTGTCCCTCGCGCTTCTGGCCCGCGTAGTTCTGCAGCAGCTCGTGGTGCCGGCCCTGGGCGGCGTCCTTGAAGGGAGTCTTTTGTGGTGTCGCTTCCTGACTACCACTCAGGGACTCATCTCTGGGCTGTGAGGTCCCTAGGCTGGTTGCTAGGCGACTGCTGACTGGGGCGAGGGTTCTGGAGGACTCGGCCACGCGGGACCAGCCCCAGTGGGCTCAAGCCCAGGCTCCGGCGGCGAGGAAGGCAGGCAGGTCATTGGTGGGAGGCGTCTCTGCTGAGCACGCGCTGGCTGGGCAGCCCGGCGAGCTAACCCGCACGCTCTCGGGGTGCGCTCTCCCACTCCCCGTGCACAGCCTGCCGGGGTGCTGCGGCGCCGCTCCTCAGCGCTGTCCTTCCCAGCCTGCAAGGTGGAGGGGCAGACGCGGCTGGCCCGAGACAGAAGGTCCCGCCGGCTGGTCCTGCCCTCTGCGCTTTGCCACGGTGGTGGAGAGCTGCCGGGACGCGGGCGCACGGCCCTTCGCCTGTGAGTGGACGGGCGCAGCGCCCCGCCACGCTGCCCTGGGCCTCAGGGTCGCGGGCGGGCGGCCGGCCGGTGCTCCGTGGGGCGCCTCTGTGTGCCCTGCCTGCCACAGGTTATCCTGAGGGCGGTGTGTCCTTCTCACTTCCGGATGACCTCGTGCTGCCTGTGCGTCTCCGCTATCTGGCGTGTTTCGGTTGTTGGATGTGTGTGAATGGTGATGCCGTTTCCATGGCACCAGGGCCTTCTCGTGAGGGTGATAGCGGAGACCCTAGAAATGTGTCTGGACGCCCCATGGCCTTCAGCTGTGCCCAGCGCCTGCCGGGTCCGGCGCCTGTGTCCGTGCCCCCCTGCGCCGTCTGTGCCCCCCGCCGGTCTGTGCCCTCCGCCAGTCCCTGCCGCCTGCCCGGTCCCTGCCGCCCGCCCGGTCCGTGCCCCCCGCCGGTCCCTGTCCCCCGCC